TCGTTCCTCGTTCCTTCAGTCCAGTGTGTAGTCTGTAGTCCGTCGTCCGTCATCATGATGGCAAATTATTTAAATGTGTATAATTTCATCCCTCGAGTTTTACTTTTCCTCCTTAGTGTCTTAACGCTTTCTGAATGTCTTTATGAGGATCAAGTTGGAAAATTTGACTGGTAAATACTGTTTTGTTTTGTCAGATTAAGAAATTCCAGGTTCCCCGTAGTATTATTTGAGGTTAAAGTAACCGGTAGTTTCTTTTCAAAAATGTTATTTAATCCAACCAACCCAAAAAGAGAAGTGTGAATTCTCTATTTATTTAGTTAGACCCTCTTTGCTATTAGTTGGTCATTTTTACTCGCATTGAAAAATAAAACTTTGGTTAATACAATGTTTGAGATTAGCATATTCTGTTAGTTATCCATCATAAGTCTGTTTATTTTTGAATTCTAGGCAACAGAGTTTTATTGGTGATTTAAAGTTTGCATTTGGAGATGCGTCTGGGAAACGTGGAATTGTTGCCACAGAATTAAATGTTGTAGCAGCTCTCAACCTCAAAACAGGTACCTCTGAAAAATTAAACTTGCTTTCTATGTATTGATTTATTGTTTTAAATCATTGAGATTTTTTAACAAGAATTAAACAATTTGTACAATTATTTTCAGGCAATATACTATGGCGTCATGTACTAGAGAGGGATGGAAAAATTGAATACATGTCTATGACCAGTAGTGGTGAAGCTATTATAGTTTCTCAAGGAATCAAATCACTTGTGCGTGCCTTTGATCCTGTCACTGGGACACTCTCGTGGGAGTGGACTGTGCCCTCCTCGCTTCCTGTTAACAGGTCAAATACTTTTTGTTTACTACATTTCAAGCTCTTGAATTCTCCACACACCAACTTTATGGATTAACTTAATAATTTTCTAGGGTTTTATGGGCTGTTTCCACCGACAAACTCTATGCAGTAACATTGAATGATGGTGTCGGTTTTGCTGTTCAACAATTTAATATGAGAACTGGTGCTTTGATTGGCAAATGGCAAAATACTGCACCTTGGGCTCAAAAGGACAGGTAAGTGTAGATGAATGTGCACTTGCATTCTCTATTCATTAATATTACTATTTTACTCATGATAGTGTTATGTATCCAAACAGATGTGGTCTTTCACGCGACATCCTGGCGTGCTTCTCAGGAAAAAACCTCCACAACATCAGATTCTCACAAAGTGATGTAAAACCTGTTACATTAGAATTGTCTCAGAGTATTGCTCAACTGCAGCCTGTCAAATCAGGGGACAAGCCTGGAGTATTTGTAGACTTTGAAAGCACTGGTACGGTGAAGTCAAGCCAAGTTGTGTTCTTCGCTGAACAAGGGCAGTCCAATGTGCAATGTAAAACCCTATCATCTCCAGCCCAATGGGTTACTTATGATTCATCTCAGAAATCTAATGCTCTTCTCCAATTCTCCCAGAAAAATGAGGTAAGTCAATTAAACTTTTACATTATGTCGTCCATTTGTTGACTTGAATTTTGCTTCCTTTTTGCCTTATGATGAATTCCTTTTGTCTTTTCTCTATCTAAGGAGCTACATGTCATTGCATCTGACTGTGTATCTGGAAGGAAATTAGAAGATTTGTCTTTCTCTATCCCCTGGCCCACTTCACTTCAACCTCAGCTTAAAACTGTTATTTGCGGGCCTAACAAAGATGATTTATCTTTGTGCCGTCTGCTCCTTCGTACCTCAGATGAAGCAGTTACTCTTCTTCAATATATCGGTACATTCTTAAATGTGTCCTCTTATGTTACACACTCTTGTATTTTCCTTGTGCAAGATGCTACCCTCTCTCGTTCTTGTTTCAACTTTCAGGTAAGGTGTTGTGGGTCCGAGAGGAAGCTTTGGCATCTGTAGTAGCTGCAGAGATGATGGATCTCCCTGTTTCTGACAAGGATGCTGCAATAGAAAAGGAGTTTGACAGCAAAGAAGGTAAATTTAATTATATACTTGGACTTGGGGCTCAAAATTTGATTTTTTTTTTCTTGAGCAAATGGTAAAATTGGTTTTGTTTTACAATATTTATTTGTCTTGTGCTGCCCAGGGGATTATTCAGCTCTTGGTGAGTTGTGTGCAAGCCTGTTATGTATGAAGTGTTGTGTGACTTGGTTTGTTCAGGCATTATGGTGAGATAATTTTCTTGCCCAAAATGGAGAATTCTTTGGAGTTGATTGCTTGTTTATAGCATTTCTTATCTAATGATTTGTATTTCTGGCCCGTTTCACTGAAATGAAGGACTTAATTTGTTCATAGACTCTGTTCTTCATCCGAATCCAAGGTGTTTGAATTTGTCTAATGAATGGAGGTTTTTTTTTTTGTCTGTGCATGGTGTTTGTTTCATGAAGCAACTGTGTCTCTGAGCTTGATTTGCCTGTTGACAATTAGACATTATCTAATTGTAGTTTTTCAACTATAGAATGTTCTCTTTTCTCCACATTATCTTGTACATCACCCATATTTCCTAATCATATTTACTTTTCAAGAAATTGACTTTGTAAGGGAAACCGATTCATGTAAATGGGTTGCTCTTTTATTTTTACTTAACCTTATTTAGTTTGTTCTTGAGTGTTTTTAGTACCACACAGTTCTCAAAATTTGAAAACTTCCGAGTGTTCATGCATGTAGTTGCGTGAAAGAAAAAGCTTTGATCAAACAGGTCTCGAATCATATGTTTGTAAGAGATTATGTAACCTTGACATTCCATACCTTTCAGCTGGCTTGTTGGGAATGTTTGGGAGACGCCTTGTAAGCCAAGCCTTGCAACTGCAACACCTAGTGCAAGCTGTTCTTGGACTTCATGAACCCCACCAGCCTTCTGGTCAACGAGCAGACCTTGTTCGTGATGATTTTGGCTTGCATAAAATGATAGTTCTTGCTACCAAGGCAGGAAAGGTATGTTAATTCCTTCAAGAGAGCAATCTAGATATGTGTACAGTACTGGAATAATAATAATAATAATAATAATAGTAACTACTAATAATAATGTTCTCTTTATCACTTAGCTATTTGGGCTAGACAACTTTAATGGTGAGATTGTATGGCAAAAAATGTTGTTGAATGTAGACACTAGTTCTATGCAACTTTTTGTTCAAAGAACAACACGACATGGACCTTACCCAGCGCAGTGCTCTTTGTTACTGAAGGATAAAGTAAGTGCTCTCTTTTCATGCACAACTCTGTATTATTGGTTTCTGCATCAAAACTGTAATTTTATCCTTGCTTTTTATTGTTGTATTTAGGACTCTAAGGAAAGTGTACTTTATACTTTTGACCCAATGACTGGTTTGGGTAATAGGAAAAACTTGGGCTATCGAGCTCTGCAGACCATGCTGCTTCCAGTAATGGATGCTGAATCATTGCGACCTATTCTGCTTCTTGACTCTTCTGAAAAAGTGCACATTGAACCTCGATCAGCTATATCCTTGGCTGACTCATTTGCATCATCTCTTTACATTTATGTTGCTGATCCTGCAACTGGAGTAGTTAGAGGGTACACCTTTGCTCAATCAACTTCTGAGGTAAGCTTGTCATGCGAAAGGGTTTCAGTTCATGCTGTCCTTTAATTGTTCTGATGTTTTCAATTTGAAGAGAAAACAATAATTACATTTACAGAGACTTGTTGCTGCTAGAGTGTGGGAGGTAGTTTTCCAGCCAGAATCTCAAACCTTGGTGAATGTGGTTGGTAAGAATCCCCAAGAAAGAGTTCATTCACAAGGTCGCGTATTAGGAGACCGTAGCGTACTCTACAAGTATGTTAATCCAAATCTAGTTGCTGTTGTAACCCAAGGAACTGATACCCTTCACAAATGTAAGTAAAATAGTTTTTTGGTTCATACTTTTACTTGTTTGACTCTAAATTTTCATTTATTTTGCAGTTGTTCTAAATGTTTATCTTTTGGATGCTGTCTCTGGAGCTATAGTATTCTCAATTTCTCATAAAAGAGCCCGGGAACCTATTCATTTGGTGCATACCGAAAATTGGGTTGTGTACACTTACTTCAGTGAAAAATGGAGGCGCACAGAAATAGCTTCAATTGAGTTGTATGAAGGCAAAACTCAAAGCAATTCAGGATGTAAGTACCATATCTATCTCTATCTGTAATAATGTCGATCTTTGGAGAGACATATTACTTTCCTTTCTATTGATGCACATTTATTGTGATTCTTTTCATTATTTGTCCTAGCTTTCTCCTCCCTTATTGCTCCCCCTCAACCATTGGTTGAGCGCCAGTCATATATTCTTCCTGCAGTAGTTCAGGCTATGAAACCTACTGTGACAGAGAAAGGTATCACCAGCAGGCATGTCCTGGGTAAGTATTAAAATCTATACACTGACCTAGGCAGAAATGTATTTTTCTCAAAACTTTCTTTAATGTCTTTTCTTTTTTCACAGTTGGACTTGCTACTGGTGCAGTGCTCGAGCTTCCCTGGATGTTCCTTGACCCTAGACGACCTGTCACTGTAACACCTGAGATGCGAGAGGAAGGTGTCATACCTTACATGCCTGAGTTGCCAATTCCTCCTGAATCCATTATAAACTACAACAAATCTCTACCCCTCATAAGTGGTATACATACAGCTCCTAGTGGATTAGAAAGCACATCACTTGTCCTTGTATATGGACTAGGTAAGGTGGAAGAGAACTCTAGACCTGGTATTTTAAAATGTCATAATCTTAATTTGATCTTTCCTTTTTCCCTGCTCTTTACAGATCTCTTTTACACAAGAGTAGCACCATCAAAGACTTTTGATCTCTTAAAAGAAGACTTTGATCCATTCCTTATTTCAATGGTTCTTGTTGGACTTGGGTTGGCATCTTATACGACTAAGCGTCTAGCTTCAAGGAAAGCTTTAAAGCAAGCATGGAAATGATGATTTATTTGTTAAAACAATATTTATTTCATTTATGTGTATGTATTGGATCTCTGTGATACCATTATGCTTCAAATATGACATTTTCTATTGCAACATTTTGAGGACTGTTTTTCTTTTAGTGTCAGACAAGAATACAATTTTTCAATTTCAAAACTCTAAACTGAGTGCTAATGACTCTCAAGAACTGTACTTTCAGCCCCTTTTTCTGCTGAGAATGGGAGGGGCAATTACCACACCTTTGATTTATGTTGTATCTTGTAGTAAGTTGGTTTCCTAGCAGATAAGCTTTAATCAATCTTTGCTAGTTGAATCCCAAATTACCATCCTAATGGTAAAGAAAATATTCTACTGGGTGTTATGCAGTATGTATGCTGTTTTCCAAGTTGTATGAAAGACTTCTTATCTTCGTCTATTTTTGGTCCAAAGGGTAAATTACTGGAATTTTGTACTTTTTTGTGTGAACTCATCTTTTGAGATAAAATCATACCTATAAGGACTGATATTTAAAACTATCAAAGGCACTAATTGCTTGGTTTTGTTTCTGTTTAGGGTGAGGAATATACAGACATTTTATTGCTAGTCTAGTTATTTGTTGTTTCTCATTTAAAATAAAAATTTTCTTTGTTGTCATCACCAAGATCCTTACAATACATGTATTCAAACCTTTATTAGCTGTGTTAAAAGGCCCCCCGCAAAAAGCACATAAATTTTTATTATCAAATTTATACTTTTCCTAAAATTTGTAAGAGCTATCTTGTGTTCTAGTCTTAACAGCTTTCATCAGTACAATCCTGAAACTCATAATGTGCATCTATCTTCATCTTTAGCTGAATTATGGGACCCATCTTATGAGGTGTATATTATAAGGGCGTTGATTAAAGTAGGTAATTGCTTCATTTGTTGCAATTAGATTGATTATGGCATATTTTTAAGAAATGAGTACTGAAGAAATGTGTTCTGTAGAATTGTAGAATCCTGATTCGTTGGTTTTCTCAACTTTTGCACATGTAATTTGTATATTAGCTCCATTCCCTCAATACATATTTCAATCAGTGGGAAATCAATTCCTTGTGACGTTTTCCAAAGTACATCCTGTTGTTGTGTTGTTGAATCGGAGTAGTTACCTGATGATTGATAATCCTGTTGGAACTGCTATAGTATTGGTAAAAGCAGAGTGTTTTTATTACACTAGATTAATACAATGTGAACGTAATGTCATACTTCAATCTGATTTTATGAGATTACAGAACAAGTGTGGTGTTTTGGTATTTAGAATACAAATTGTGCATTGATTTTATCGATGAATAAATTTTATCTTCTACAAATTGTTTTTAAATTTGCATCACTTCACTTTTATACCCTGCAAAATACCGAAGCCTCCTGATTTTGGCACCCAAAGTGCCGAAGCCGGAGGCCCTAAGCAAAAGAGAGGATGAATTCAGGGTGTTTTTCTGGTTTTGTTTGGGGGGGGGGGGGGCGCAGGGAATGCCCATGGAGGTGAGGTAGGCAGATTGTAATTGTGCGCAAATTCAATGTAGAACCCGAATAAACTTCGACGTTCTTGCAGGATTAGGATTTGCGTTAATCGTAATGGTTAGGGTTGTGGGTGTTTTTTTGTAATTGCTCGGATCAGCGACCGTTCTTTAGTTCTTACGCTGCCAGTGCTGTTTGTGTTGGCCACTCTCATTGGTCGCAGCTAAGACTCCCCCCCCCCCTCCCTCTATGGCGTTGTCAAGTTAACGCGGATCCGCTGCGGATCCGTGCGGATCCGTACGGACGCTGCGGAACTTGCGTACGCTCGCTCTGGGAGGTCTAAAAACGTTTGTAACTTTGTGAATTCATACATATTTCGAACGAGGAGAGGTCAAGGAACATAATTCTGTACAAATAATAGCACATTCAAGCTAATTTTACATGTATTCGTAAGTGTGTAAAAACCTTTCCAATTTATAATACGGCTGCAAAATGCCATTATTTGTACAAACTAATGTTCCTTGGCCTCTCCGTGTTCAAAATATGTACATGTAAACAAAGTTGCGACCGTTTAAAGCCCTCCTAGAACGAGCGTACGGAAGTTCCGCAGCGTCCGTACGGATCCGCACGGATCCGCAACGGATCCGCGTTAAATTGACAACCCCTATCGTCCGGCGGGCCCGGCCGAGCAGCGAGCAGCCGAGCCACAGCGGAAAGGGGGCGCGGGTGGTTGTGTTGTGAGAAAGACCGAAGGGAGATTGTTATGTGTTGTTGTTGGTGTTGATGTTTACGATGTTTACACCATGGTCCGGGTTCTCAACGCTGAGTTAAGTCTCAGTATGGAGCTGGCCGGACGTCTGTGAAGGAGCGTGTGACGTCGACACCCGCTTGTCCTCGGCGGCAGGGAGGATTCGTGACCGTGTGTGAGAGCTCGTCGGTGTGCAACAGTTCCCTCCAGTCTGAAGTGCAAGTTATCAGGTAAGTCGTGTCCTGCGGCCGTCTGAAGTGTCTGGATTTATGGGTCATTGCTGCGAGTCGTTGGGAACAAAAGTGGTCAACTCTCGTGTAGCTCTGTGGCGAAGGCCGGGGGCGTCGGGGCAAGGAGTTCGCAACATAACCTCCCCAGCGAGAAGACTTCGCCCCTTTACGGGATGTAGACATTGTCCTGCACGGATCTCTCCCATCATAGTTCGCTATTCTCAAATTATACAACGATTCGGGTAACTACATTATTGCGTGTTGTCACGCACCCCACACTTGCCATTCTGCACAGACGAGGAGCACCGCGCAATTTTGAGGAGGAGGGAGGGGGCGGGAGGAAGAGGGGCATGAATTAGTTGGAAAATCACGGCGCGACGTGGTTTTTCCTGGTCCCATCTCGTTCAGATCAGGTTCGCCATGGTTTACACTTGGGGTGGCGGAATAATACTTGCACGTATTTCACAACGGTAGCCTAGTTTGCTCCGGCCTACCAGCAGCACCGGCCGAGTCGTGGGTTTTGAGAAAGTGCTGATGTATGTCCCTCCCCCCTTCCTCCCCGAGGGGTCTGTTCCGATGACGTTTGCGGAAATTATCCGTACCCGTGTTTTCCGCTGAAGGCTTGGGGTACGGGGTGCACGGATAGGCGAGAGCCCCCGCCCCCCCTCCTCCCCCGGTTCTCAAACAAAAGTTTTATTGTTTTCGGGTGACTCAACTCGACGGATCGTGCTGGTCGAGACGTGTCTGACCAGCTGATCAGAGGGAATGCCTTTACTGGTCGCCCCACAAGTGTCCCGATAGTGACACGGCCTTCTCTTCCTGACCTTCGCAGGAGACGGCGTGCACCATGAGCAAGGCCGGCAAGTCGAGGAAGAGGAAGCTCTCCGGGTCTGCGGACGAGGTGGAGAGGATGCGAGTGTACGTGAAGGTGATAGAGGACAAGCTCAAGGCCTCGGACGAAGAGGTGAAGATACTCCGCAGCCATCGGGACGTGCTGGTCGATGAGGTTGAAATCCTGCACAAGAGGGGCCTGTCTGAGGTGGTCGTGGTGAGTATACCCACACCCTCCCCCTCCCCCAAGACTTCTTGCCTCGGCTTGGCCTCTAACGCCTCCTGCCGCGCCCACAGCTCCAGCCGCGACAGATGCACGTACAGGACTTGCCCCAACACGTGATGCTGCGCATCTTCGACATGCTGGACCGCACGTTCCTCACGGACGTGGTGAGCGAGGTGTGCAATCAGTGGCTCCTCCTGGTGTGCGAGCCCTCGCTCTGGGCGCGCGCTACCCTCACCTATGTCAACTCTAAGGTGAGTACGACGCGCACCATTCTCGGTTGTGCACTAAATGAGAGTGTACCCGATCGATTGCCATTGCCTATGGCGGTAGGGGTGGAAACGCGATGGCATCTGCGGGTCTGCCCACTTGCCAAAGAAGAAGGGCGTCGTTGCGAGCGACGGCCACCCCGCACGGCGCGGGTAGGCAACGCTCCCTGCTCCTCCTGTGTGCGGTGCAGTGGGCGGGCGAGGCGCGGCTGTCTGATTGATGACGTTGGTTTCGCGCGGTCGTCAGACCTAGTGAAAAAGTTGTTCCTTTTTTTGTGGACCCGAATGGCGGCACAAACCATCAAAAGATACTATTTGCCACCAACTTTCTGTCCTGTCATGCGCAGGGGTCGGCGACGGGCGCGACTACGTTCGTGCGCACGCTCGGCTCCGCCTCCACGCTGTACGCCCTGGAGTGCGGCCTGTCACCGGCGGACCCGCCCCGCGTGCACCAGATGCTGAACACGTGCGCCACGGCCGTCGAGCACCTGTGCTTCGACCTGGACACGGCCGCCCCCGAGGCCGTGCTGCGCCTCATGTGGAACTCCCGGCACTGCCTCAAGGAGCTGTCAGTGCGCGAGGAGCCCCTGGGCGGGTCCTACTTCTCCTACAGCCAGGCTACCAGGTAGGTTTGGCTCTGCGGCTTCATTCTGCTCTATGCAGCGCCCGGCGCGGCGGAGCCAACCAACGGAAGCGACCGATTTATCCTGATTAATCAGAGAATGGCGCACGACACCCGCGCTCTGGATAAAAAGAAGTAAATTTTGTGAACGCTTCCAACATTGATTGTACTGTCTTTTTTTCCATTTTTATTTTTAAGCAATTTCGATAACTTCCGGCGGCCATTATTTTATTTAGAATGACACTTTTTTTTTCGTTGGCAACCTGGTTTCAGCCTTAACAACGCCGTCTCTTTTCTTTATTCTGCGCAGGTTCTGGGAGCAGATCGAGGGTTGCCGGCAGTTGAGGTCACTGGTGCTCTTTTTGTCTCAAAAGAGCGGCCTGTCGTCCTGCGTGTATCCGTTCCGGCCCAACCCTCACCCCTCGCTGCGCACCCTGTGCCTCGACGTGGGCGTGCTGCACGAGCACGCCAAGCTGGTGCAGTTTGGCATCGTGGTGAAGTCGCTCATCACTGCGCACCGGGCCACCCTGGAGAAAGTGGGCCTGCCCATGTTGGTGAGTGACGAGTGATTGAGTGAGGGATTGATTGCAACCCGTCCGTGTCGCGTGGTGATCGGGTGACCACGGCCCCTCTCTTTCTCTCGCCGCAGGTGAGCATGCCCGGCACGGTGGTGGCGCTGTCTCGGTGCCCATCGCTGCGCTCGGTCAGGGTGCCCGTCAGCCCCGAGGTGCGCCACCTGTCGCGGTGCGACCAGCTGAGCGAGCTGCGCCTCACGATGGACAACGCGCGGCGCGGGCTCGAGCTCAACCCGGAGCGCGTGCTGCACAACATCTGCCAGTTGCCCCAGCTGCACGAGCTCAACATCTCGCACGTGGGCAAGTGCAGCGACGCGCACTCCGCCGCCACGGCCGGGTCGCTAGGCGTGCTCAACGAGCTGGTGGAGCTGCGCCGCCTGCGGCTCACGTGCCTGCCGACGTGCGACGACCTGGACCGGCTGGCCTCGTCCCCGACGGCCGCGCCGCACCTGGAGGTGCTGTACTTTGGCGAGTCTTGCGGCGACGCCCGGGACGCGGGCTGCCGGCTGCCGGCGCTCCGTCGCCTGCTACAGCGCCGTCCTCAGCTGCACGTCTCGCTGACCAGCATCAGGGTGCGCG